TCTCGAAGTAAGAGGAACACATATCTTCTCGATATTTCCGCCATTTTGTTCAAAAACGATGACGTCACGATAATCACGTGATTTCCCTGACCGAGTTTTCCTCTAACACAACTCCAAAATGACCGGTGATTGTTGTGTTTTTAAATTCCTCCGGAGTAGTGTGGACGGAAAACATTTGATGCGTTTGCAGAGTGAAAATACTGTTTTGAAATTCCTTCAGTGCAGTGTGGACGGGACCTCGGAAATGGTCTGTTACACAGATTATCACCCTCTTTCATCCTGAACTTACTATTTGGTATAGACCCTCTTCGTAAATGGCTGGTATTAAAAATTAGTCCAACTAACCTCGGTTTTGAGTTGATATTTCAAAAGAATTTTTACTCTCAAACGATGTTAGTTAGGCTAATTTAAATGTGTATGCAATCATTTATGACTAGGGTCTATACTAGGTCAGAAACTACTGTGGGTTTTCCTCACCTGGACAATAACTAACCACGTGGCTCCCTCAGAGTGACGCAGTAGATTCACTGATCCAGCGTAGGTACAAACGTACAGGAAAATAACCAAAGTTCCTATCATGGCTGGTTCTGCTGCGCCAAAGCAAAATTGTAATCCATACAACCAACTACAAGCATAAATTAAAATCAAGGAATAGGCAGTAAATATGCAAAATACCTGATCAAGAGAATATGATCTGGAGTCATAACCTCTTGGCCTGATTTAACCTTGGTTCATATATATACGAAATTTATTTCACCAAAATAAATGATCTTATGTAGCTTGTGACGTAACTAGACCTATTACTTGGTTGGGGGAGTTTCTGTCATCCGGGATATAGATATCGCTAAATGTGGTCCACCTTCTCTTTTGCGCAGCATTCTCAGCAACTGAAGGGGATTTTCCCACCCTCCATACCCCATTTTCTCTATTTTCTACATTAGCTGGCGGTTTCTCCCCTACCTTTGCTGGGCTAATTCTTTGGTATGTTTGTAATTTAACTTTCTAAGCTTGCTATCAAAATAAACGGCCACACCTGTGGCCAATATATCCCACTTGGGAATGTTGAGTTTTTTTACCTGGCAAACAGAGCTCAGCCAAAGCGCCACCCGTATGAATTATGTGTATGCTGTATTTAAGTTTGAGGAACAAGAAACATAAATTTTATGATTTGATAAAGTTCGAACCAGTCTGTACTGCTACAGTACTGTAAGATATAGAACTTTTCGTGCCTAGGCCATAAATGTGCGGGAATTTATTATTTATTCCTCTCGCTAGAGAAAGGAAAGTATTTTTTAAATGCATGATTCCGTAGGAAATGAGCCTTACTGTAGACCAATGGTGCGTTAAATTGACCAATCTCACATCTCGCGTGCTTTCGTGCTACCTGAGTGTTACTTAAATCTTTCAAAAATATTCAACATTTCGAGAGGATCTGTTCTACAGAAAGGCTAGTCAATACTTCTCATTTAAAAGAATTGTTAATTAGCTCTTATTTAAGGAGCAGGAGGTCTGTATCGGAGAATCTTGACCGAGGTCGTGTGTACAGACCGAACGCAGTGAGGTCTGTACGCACGCCCGAGGTCAAGATTCTTCCATACAGATTGACTAAGCTCGGTTAATAAGATGTTTATTATATGGAGCAAACAAGAACAATTTAATTCGGTTTATGTAACTGGTCTGTACTAACTGACATTTTGCTTGCGAACGACGATGAGCTGAGTTTAATAATTCTGCAAAGTTTGCTTGTCCTCTTCATTCACTTTTCTTTCTCATCAGGCTTTTTGGCACTTTCATAAATAAATATTGTTAGATGAAAAGAGTCAACGATTTTGCATTTTAGGATACATCTTTTTCACTGCAAAACATTACCGGTCTAGATGGCGGTCTAGATGGGAAAATCTAGACCGCTTTCAATATCGATTTCAGCCAACCAAATTCGTGAATTTGGTAGTTCCCAGTCCTTGTGANAATAACTTTCGACGCCATCGGCGGGGATGGCAAGTGCCACAGGCGCGAAATTCTAGGGGGGCACCAGGGTCATCCTTCCCGGAAAAGTTTTTCTGATTTTACCCTCTAAAACGCCATTTCCAGTATTCCTGACAATTGAAAAGCGTTTGTGAAGGCGATATAAAATCTGCAGTTTACCAGTGCTACTATGACGAAATTCGCATCTTCCCTATCTAAGCCATTTTAAAACATAAACAAGTAGTCTGTATGTAAGAAAAATGCTGTTTACTATTTTCAAATAGCTGGTTTTCACATGACGTCGCTAAAATTCAAACTACAAAACTATTGATCTTCCCGAGATTTTACTCTGTTGATGTATAAGAGCACCTGAAAACTAATATTCATACAAATTTTCGCTCCGAATGGGTTCTTGGTTTTGTAATACACTACATTTGAATTTCTAGGCTTTTGCGTGACGCGGCATTTACATGACGGCCTAGAGAGCTGTCATGATGGTTAAAAAAGTGACTTATTTCGGGGAATTTGCCTATCTGAACAGTTCATGTCTTAGAAAAAGTATTATTTTAATGTTCTAGAGTTCCTCGAGGGATAAATTGACGCTTTTGTAACAAAACTCAGTGCCAGATGTTTCTGTTGGTTNCCTATCTGAACAGTTCATGTCTTAGAAAAAGTATTATTTTAATGTTCTAGAGTTCCTCGAGGGATAAATTGACGCTTTTGTAACAAAACTCAGTGCCAGATGTTTCTGTTGGTTTCCGGCCGCCATGTTGGTGGCCATACGGATGGGCACCAGTATGGCGTCTCCATACAAATCTCTATAAATTTGGGTAAAAAAATTATCCGCATATCTCGCGTAAGAAAAATTGCTGTGATCAGAAATTTGGCGAGAGTCTTTGCGTATTTACCTTCTTTCATTTCCCAGATTCTGGACTTCATCTATCGACCGGTTTTGATTTTTATTTTGATCTATTTTGAATTGCGTGACACTGAAAACCAGCAATCTCTCTTATCGTTACAGAGATATTCAAGTTTTTGAAATATGCAAATTAGCCAAGTGATTGATCAAATGTGATGAAGAAAGATATCTCAGCCAATTTGTATCAGAAATGTTTGATTTTTTTGCAGTAAGATTCAGTTTTGTCACTATGGCAACATACTGGGTTCCAGATCTCCCCAATATTTAAGGCTTTCTGGCCACCTTTGGCGTTCCATTTAATGTTTGCCAATGGTGCCTCATCTGCATGATCCAGCCAGCGTATAAATATATTAGGTCAAATTCGTGGCCTTTTTTAATGTTTTTTGAGCTGAAAATCACTAAAATGTTGAAATCAAGTGGGCGGGGACTGGAAAAGAATGAGTTGCCATGGGAACATAATTTTTATAGCCGTTGGTGTGTTGCCTGTAGAACTATTAGTCTACCAAGTTTCAATAGTCTGTGCGGCAAATTGACCGAGATAGCTTTACTTATATACTTGATATAATATCGGGTTGAGTGTATGACGTCATCAGTCATCTCATTTACATATTTTACACATTTTTAAAACTTAAATTTCTCCGGAACTAATCTAACATATTTGAAAACGGCAAATGGAATTTTTATTATTTCATGGAATTCTATGCGTGCGATAAACCTAAAAAATCAAGGGGTGCAAATTTGATAATAGTACAGGAGCACTTAATCTCAACCGGAAAAACAAAAACAGCCGTGAAATGTACACTTACTTTTCCTAACTTGACAACCAATCAGCTGGTAGGAGTTAAACAACTACGCATAAAAGAGGTTTATTCTATTATTTTCAATGAAAATGCGAACAAATATGTGTTATTTCTTATCAAGCTACGATGGCCAAAGAAAAAGATTATTTAAATAATAAACAATTGTGGCTCAAAGGGAGGGAGGTGGCGGGGGGGGGGGGGGGTTTAAGAAAGATTCTGTAGTGTGGAAGAATTTCGTCCCATGGCTTAACATTACAATCATATAGTGGTTAGTTTACTGCTCTCTGCTTCCCACCATGCAGAAGTACTCTGTTTCTTAGTTATGTNAACCCCTCCACTGGATCTGCCTATGTTAACGGTCCGTAACGTAAGTTATTTAACGAGCAGTCTTCTTTTCGAATCATTTCACGCTTCCAACTATGTTTATCCCTTTTATAGGCTAAATCTTTAAGCTATCTTTTCGACTGGGCTATTCGATTAAAACATTACAACTACTTACTTGCGTCCAAAATCTTCAATATTGCTACCGCTAGTATCCTGGGTTGTATTTGTACTTCCACTCGCCGGTAGAATATCTACCCAGACCAGCGCCGAGGCAAGGAAAAGGAACTGATATGTAGAAATCCAGAACAGGAAGTAATGCAAGTTGATTCCTCTTCTTGACATTTCCTGTTGCATTTTTACTCCTCTTTCCACAAGGACGATTGCCATAGCTGTCGGAAGCTGGTTTTGAAAAAAATGTTTTCAGATCTTTATTGTTTTGCTCTATCTACCCTGTAAAAAGTCCCAATACATAGCAAGAAATAACATTACAAATGAAAAACAAAAAATAATAATAAACAATACCAAATTAAAGCTCAGTTTGCTAGCTTTAAAGTGGCCTGCATAGACTTTCTAGTTGGTCACTGGCGCGAACAAACAACTGGCAAAACATATTTCATATAAAAGACGCGAGATACACCGCACGCTGTTATTGGTCGTTGGGTGTGTTTAGATGAGACAAGGGAAGATCAAGGTAAGAGATTGAATTCCCCATATAGGCCTTATAGACCTTATACCCGAGGCAATCCCTCTGAAGTTGTTTCTATATATGGTACCCCGTGTTACTCGCGCGTTGCTTGGATATTTTCGTGGATGATTTGTGCACGTATCGTTTCAAAGCGAGGGAAAACCTCTGTGCTGTGGGGAAGCCTTCTTTGATATTTTCAGTGAACATCAAAGAAGCAAATAAGCTTCGGCCCGCGATATGTTTTGATACATTTCGAAAGTTTGGTAGAAGTTTCGAATAGGAGACAGATGCATATGTCCCCTGCGCAAACAATAACAACTGAATAAAGGGCAGAGAGGTGAGCAGCCAAACGAGTGCGAAGCGAACGAAAGCCCGAACACAACGCAACCGAACAAACAGATTGTCGAAAGTACAGACAGAAGCTCTCCGCCTATTAAAACAACAAAAGGGAGTTTATGCAACAACGACACCAACGCTAAGGACAACGACTTTGTGTTCAACCTACGAATCTCGCAAAACTTTGGAACCATTCAGTTTGCCTGTCACTACCAGAGATATCCCAAATAGAATACACTCTTTTATATGAATTTATTTTAAAAGAATATCGAGGCCGAAATTTGCGAAATTTTAAGAATAATCTTTTAAGAATAATTTTTTAAGAATAAACCCGAAGCTAAGATTTTGAAATGAATATAATTTTGTGTGTTGAAAATTTGTTAATACAGTTAATACAATGGTATGTTTTTAACTAAGCCGTATGAAATTCTTCTCTTCTTTAAACGGCAAATTAAAACTAGCCAAAAAGCAACAAAAGCAGCACTAGCTGTACAGTAGTTTCGATGCTAATAACATTTCTGCAAGAGGTACTTTAACACCGTCTAGGCACCGAATACATTTGTTCGCGCCAAAACACGGGCACGTGACACGTTGCGTTACACGTGATCGAGTGACCTTTCATGATTCGTATCGTTTTTAGTGGTTGTGTCGCATTACGTTGTTGTCGTTCGTTGAGAACAAGTCGTCTGAAAAGATTTACCATTTTGTCGTCTTGAAACTACGTGAAATCGTCCTGAACAACATTCGTAAACAGAAATGTCACACGCTATAATCTAAGGATTTTCACGAGGATATTTTCAGCCTAAAATCGGCAGAAAAAATAAGAATATTCAGCCTTGGCCGAAAAAAGCAAACCAATTTTCTTATAAACGAGAGTGTATGCATGACAGCGTCAAAATTCGAGAAACATGAAAGGAACTAACAATACTTACACAACTTATTGCGGCCATTATAGGTACTGTCCATCCAGATTGCAGCTTTGTTTGTGTTTCGATGACATAAACAACAGGTGTAACTGTCACAACCACAGCACATATTAGTTTTTTAAGGGTTGGCCTCTTCTTTAAAAAAACCCGCCTAAAAAGAGAAGAAATTCATCAATAGATTTTTCATGTGACGTCATCATTTTTTAAAATCCAAAACTAAAGAGCCACCAAAGTTTTTATCCTCATCAGGCATAAGAGGCGTTAAATTTACATCTGTTTACAATTTTACGGCTAAATAGTGTGCTTCGTTTTGAAACCAGGGCATTTTTAATTTCAGAGTTATGGCGGTGCGTGGCACAGAACCACGGTAGCGCTTGTCGAAAAATATATACTTATCTCATGATATTTAGTCTTTTTAGAAAGTAGAGCATTAGGAAAAACGCTTATGTAAATGCTTGTTTGTTCTGTACAGATAATCAGTCGCTTAGATAGCCTCTGAGTAAGTTCCAGATGTTTACACTGTTTTCCGGCCGCCACCGTACGAAAGGAGGTACACCAACATGGCGTCTCCATAGTAGCTCCTAGTGTTCTCTGTAAATTTGTACAAGATACTTCGACGAATTTTTGAAGTTTAGGAAAACGTTCAGACCTAAATTTTGGAGAAGTGTCTTCTTTATTTATCTCATATAACATCACCATTCCTTGACTTTATCCACTGAATGTTTTTCGATCTATTTTTTCCTTGCGTGACAGTAAAACGCGGATCTGTTCTGACGAAAATTGACCCGGTACATCGTAATCTTAGTTACGCTTATTTTTCTGAGTCCACCGGTCCACCGTGGGCCTTACTTTTTATTGAACTTCTTGCGAATCGTTACGCAACGTACAATACTCAAGGAGCTTTGCGTGACGCCTCAAATAACGCCTGGGGGACTGGGGAAGATACACTCATTTAATCAAGTCTATACGCGTTCGTTGTAATTAGTCACCACATTAGAAAAGATAAACCTCAGTAAGCATCACTTATGCTGAAGACCACAAAACAATTCAACCGTATTTGCCAAAGCAACTTTAGAATTGTCGGAGTTTGGCCGATTTCACTGGGACAACCCCAAATTAATAATAAGAAATTAACCTACCTGGCTGAAATAGTTAAAGGAATCGCGAAGTTTTTAAGAATTGAGTCTAGATGTCGAGGAGCTTGGACCTCAGGTTCGCTTGCCAAAACTGTCGTCAGCACTTCGCTCAAGGCATTACAGAAGCCGACCAAGAATAACAAAAAGTGTGGATAATTCCTCTCCACAGAACCCAGGTCTTGGGGTGAATATATACGAATGAACAGAATCCCCAACCCAAATATCACAACAGACGACAGACTTTCAAAAGAAAGCGCAAAATAACTTAGCGCTGAACTATGCGCATGTGTGTTTCCAGCTATTGCCGTCGAATTGATCCACACACGCAATGAGAGGCCTCGACCGGTTTCGCTGGCTGCTACGACAAGAGCAAAGAACACGTTTGCCCAGAAGAGGCTGACCTCCCAGTGTCCAATCCTGAATGTATTTCGTCTTTCGTAAGGAGTCGGAGGAGGAACACTAGGAATTAACGTTGAACTGCTGCTCGTTACTGACTCGGTCATGTTAGATTCATATAGACCGCTTTCCGCCGAATCCATGTCAGTTGTTCTGGTCGCCGTTCCCTTGGATGGCGGTAGGTTAGTTTTTACTGATGCTTGACGGTAAATTCGTGAAACCGAAAGTATTCCGCTCTCCAAGAAAACTCTGAGTCGGCTTGCTACTCACGAGGACGTCATTAACTAATTTGTTACCAACTTCTCAGGTAAAAGTACAGTACATATGAATAGTGTGTTCAGCTAGGGTCCCATGATATTCACGCGTGCATTAAAGTAGGTGTACTTTCGTTATTTTCTACGGTGAAAAGGCCATATTCGTATTCTCGGTACGGTATTGAACTGGAACTGCATGGAGATTGCAATGAAGGCTCATGAGGGGAATATCATTAAAAAGAGATTTGTGTCATTTGCATTTGAAAAGCCTTCGGTCGCCAGCTAGTTCCAGTCCAGTACCGCGAATACGAAAATGGTTTATTATTGGACGGGAACATCTGGGAATTCCCCCGTCAACATGTGAAAAGCACGGTCACCATACGGTTTATTCAATGGCTGTTTTAGCAAGTCTGACAACGAAAAGTAAAAGACACTGCTAATTTAGAGAACTAAGTCACTTAACTTAAAGGGGCTAGGTCACGCAATTTTAGGCAATTTCAGCACTGATCAAATGGTCATAGAATTAACTAAAATATCACAAAAACGGCTCAAAACTATAGGAGATCTCAAACAAAACACAGGAAAGCCAAAAAGGGACGTGGATGGACAAAACTGGAGAGGATTAAAGTGGATTGCATTTGGGTAAATTTGAAAAACGTCGGCCCACCTCTTTTCAAATTTATATCAGTTTATATCAAAATGTCATTTACACAGCTGGAAAATCATTCTCAGTTGTTATGTGACCGTGATTTTGCAAATGAAAGACTTTTGCTCCGCCAATTTGACGTTTAGAGCTCATAATTAACAAAAACAAAATTACCTAAAATAGCGAGACCTGGCCCCTTTAAAAACTCACATGCTTTAGGAAACAGATTAATGATCACAAGCATTTGAAGAGAACGAACTCTCGTGACCTTCCTCTGATGGCTACTGAACTCGTGAGACGTCATTTATGGTTGAGGAAAACGAGCGAACTATAGAATATGAATGCGTTTTTTCATGATCCGTTGTTTCGTTCAAACTTGGCTAAGTATCGAGGTGCTCTTTCCAATCGCACCGAAGAATTTTCGTAAAACGAGGGTCTGAATAGGGTTAACCGACTAGCGACAAGGGGCGAAAACTATTACTGACTACCGAAAAACCGAGGAAAAAATTGCCGACTTGCGACAAAAAAATTCTAACCGACAACCGACATGGTCCGACGTTATATTCAGAAAGAACAGCATTTTGAATTTATTTGTAGCTCAGGAAATGTTCAGATCCTTTGGACCACATTAATTCCAAATTTAGTCAATTTTTCTGAGAATTGCCTGTCTTCAAATTACTTAAAGTCCTTTTGGGTAGCAGCGGGGGACTCATTTCTAGAACAGCGGCTCGTAATCGAGCCGACAAGACGCCCTGCTGTTGTATTTTCACTGTGCGTTGTTTGTTCATGCGGTTGAGCCATGAGTGAGATTGTTAATAAAGTCATCGTGTGTGTTTTTCCGAAAAGGTGAAGAGGTCGCCATCGAAAAAAGCAGAGTTAACGAGGATTAAGTGCAATCAAATAATGACTTACTGCAAGTTTTACATTTCGTCTAGAGTTTAAAGTCTTGAAACTGCGCAAATTACGTAACAAATGTGAATAACTAACTTGCATCCTTAATAATTAATTGAGATTTACCGACAACCGACAGAGGTCGAAAATTTTAACCGATAACCGACAAAGTAATGAAATTTTAACCAACAACTGACATGTGGATTCCCCCATTCAGACCCTCTAAAACGTGTGAATTAAAATTTCCGAAATGGTTATACTTTTTGACTACAAGTGACGCCTACACTTAATTAGTACTTCGAGCCTAACGTGAGAAATTAGTACTCCGAGGTAGGCGTTAGAGGAAAAATGACGGCCGGACACGAGAACTGAAGCGAACTTTGATACCGTGAAATCCCAGGTTAAAGCCCCCCGATTACAAGCCACTCCGGATATAAGCCCTTCTATTTGCTAACAAAGATATTATTCCGGATATAGACCCCCTCGGATATAAGCCCATCTGATGTATAAGCACGTTCCTTTCGCGTTTCTTCACAAGCGTCAAAATTTTCAATCAAAAGTTATGGGCTAATAGGGTAATAATGGGGTAATAGCTATAAATGTAATGGTATGTTAGCTTAATTCGTTTTTCAGATACATCTTATCTCGTCGTTCCGAAACATTTTACGGTACCATACGAAAGACTGTGAACCTCGTTTCGCAACTACAGATCTTCGCAGTTACATGGTACGTTCAGGTTTAGAAAACACCGTGTAGAAAGTGCGCACTAATAGCTCTGCTTCTTTAACTCGTTACAGCGCATCGATTATAATTTTCCTTTGTCCTCATTGGCCAAAACTGATCACGTGGTACGATCTCGCGCGGGCAGTATCAGGTAATAGACTGCACACGCGCGACCATTTAAACAATAAAGTGTGTATGTCGAGGAACTATCGGCTGATAGTTGCCCAGCGGAAATTTGATGTTCTTTAATGTTTGCCCAATAAGCAAATCTTCCGTGGCAAATATACTGGTTTTAAAAACTTCAAATTTCCAAGGGGCAACTATCAGACCGATAGTTTAGAGACATCAACACTTTGATTGCCTTTATTGTTCACCGCTACCTTTATTGTTCACCAGTGCCCACTCAGATAAGTGTCTCATAAAACGCAGCCCCTCAATCAACTTCTTACACGAAGGTAGAGTGAACTCACTCTCCAATGTCAATTTTACAGCTCGATAGCGTGCTTCGAGTGGCCATGGAAACCAGAGCATTTTGAATTTCAGGGTTATGAAGGTGCGTGACACAAGACTACGATCGAGTTTGTTAAGAATATTTACTCACGATTTTGAGCCTTTTTTAGAAGTTAGAGCATTAGGAAAAGTGCTTATGTAAATGCTTGTTTGATCAGTACTGATAATCAGTCACCTAGATAGCCAAAGTAAGTTAAGGATGTTTACACTATTTTCCGGCCGCCATATTGTTGTACCACAGATTTACACCAACATGGCGTTTTCATACTGGACTCTGTAAATTTCTGCGAAACATTTCGACGAATATCTAAAGTTTGGGAAAACGCACAGGCCTAAAACTTGGAGAAGTGTCTTATTTAGTTATCTTCTATGACATCACAATTTCTTTGCTTTTTCCACTGGATGGTTTTCGATTTATTTTTTTATTGTGTGACAGTGAAAACGTTCTATAGTAACCTATAAAATTGTTCACTAATGGTTGGACCGATGCCATTATTTTAGCATCACCTGACTAAGAGTGGTATTTTTGATCCATCCAAGTATAAGTGATAGAAAGAGCTTGAATTTTTTGTGAGCCTTCTTATATCTATAAATCACCATCAATAACAGCGCATATGTAGTACATAGTTGTGGTCGACACAACCTAAGGTTATTAAACTAAATTTATATGTACACACAGATCTAAGGATGGAGACGCAAAAAGAGAAGTCGAAGCCCTAACCCTTCTCTTATTCAAGCACGAAAATGTCATGCCTTCCCTTTCCGCACAATGACCATGCCCTCCTCGTTTGAGTACAACTGGACCGTCACCGCTATGTGACATACATCGCGCGTTCTGTCCAAACCATTATCACCAAAGTCTGTAAAATCTATTTTAAAATCTAAAAATCGTTGGAAACTAAAACAGAGAAATAAAAAACAACTTTGCTTCGTTTTAAATTGGTATATAGTCAACAAGGAATACCACGTAATACCATAATATAAGTATTTGTTTAGTGTATTCAACGGAAGTTAGCCCGAGTAATTAAATTCCCTCGCTCAAGAGAATGGAACCGAAATATTCCAAACTGATGACGTAGCACGAGAGGGATCAATAGGGTGTCTGATTGGTTGTTCTCGGTTTTAAATTTTCGCGCTTAAGTATCAACCAGTCAGAGACAGCTCTGTAACGCGACGTCACTAAGTAAGGAAGTTTTCAGGTCTTATTTCAAACGTCTCTTGAACGAGGAGAGCGTTGAGCTCGTTACCATGACTACAAAATTAGGAAGGACTTAAACAAAGTGTAGAAAATTTATAGTCTCAAATGGAGTAACTTGGCGAGTTAGTTTTGTTGGAGAGAAGAGGTTCTTCTGCATCAGGATCTGAATGGTACTGATCGGAGTAGTAAAACTCTTCTCGGCGATTTTCTTCAGGTTTTAGAGAAATCTCTGGCGCGCTACGAAAAAAAAGAACAAAAATAATCTTATTTGTAGGAACATCATCTCAAAGTCCCTGCTGCCATGCGAACTCCGGCTAAACTTGGTAATAATATAATGACCAATGAGTATGGCAGACTGAAAATCTTAAAATTCTTCACATAGATGGAAAAGATTAAGCAGAGACAAGTCGCCAACTAAGAGATTTCCACGCGGTGTATTACCAGATTAATATAATTATATAGGGTCAGTCCTGATCCCTCCAGTGTACTTTTGAGACCAAAATTCACTTAACAGGACGAAAGAACATCTGTATTTACACTGGAAAGGATGATTATACAAAGACAACCATCAAGAAACTAACCAAGGTACGCAGTAAGGTTTTTTTTTTTAATGAAGGGATTAAAAATGGATCGTTGTATTTGCATAGTCATCCTTTCAAATGTCATAGAGATGTTTTTTCGTTGTTTTATTTATTGTATTCTGGTCCGTGGACTGAAAGGCGCGCATTTTGTAAAGGAAAATTACAGCCCATGGTTATTTTTAAGAGTTTCATAAAAAAAGTTTCTGTTCAAAGCTTGCAAAAATATATTTCTTTTACTTATCATCGATTTGGACCAACGATCTCAAAAGCTGCTGAGCGGGTGCATTGGCAAATTACCACATAGTAAAGTAAATTATATTCGCCAAAGTCACTGCTTCCATTTTTTATGAATAATTTTCAGTAAATTGTTGTTTAAGGCCGTCTATTTCTTACCCCATGTTGTAGGCAAAAACGGCGGGAACCATGATTGCCAGTGCGCCGATGCTGAACCAAGTGCTCACGTGACCCTCAGGCTGCCACCTGAACGGTGACTCGTTGAACAAAGTCCAGAAGAGAAATCCCAGAGGAGTGACTAGGGACTAACAAAAAACAGAAAAAAAATCGTATTATCGTGTCATCATTTAGCTCAAAGACAGAGGGGTTGCAAAATAAGCTTAACACAGCTGAACATTGGGTCATATACCCTCCAAAGCAGCCCATCCCCCTTTGATGACTCCCTTGATCGTTTGCCTGCCTACTGAGCTCAGATCAGGACGTTTTTTCTTGCCTATGTACACACTTAATGGACTAGTCTCGCAGGGTTTATGGTTGTGTAGAAGCCTTGCACGAAGTTATGAAAGGAAACTCACAATGCGTTGCCTATTCAACGCATATCTACTCCACGAAACAACGTTAATCTCGCAAAGTTGGACGAAATATTGCCTAGTATAACGTTATGGGCGTTTAGCGTGTTTAAAACCGGATTGAACGGTCTGATCCGGGTTCGAACCCTAGGCAGGGTCTCTGCGTTGTGCTCTTAGGCAAGACACTGAACCCTCACAGTACCTCTCTCCAGCCTTGCAATGGGCTAGCGTCCCATCCAGAGGGGAGTAGAAATACCCCTATTCTCTTAATGCTACAGAAACCGGAGATAAGCACTGGCCCGGTAGGCCACTACGCTCAAATAGACTTTACCTAATATTTCAAACTGAGAAAAAATACAGTCCTTTTATAAGAATATCGTTTTACAGACCCACGCTGTCGATTTTAGGCTGAAGATATTCATGTGAATATTCTTAGATCATAGCGTACGACATTTCCGTTTTAGAATGGATCGGGGTATCAATAGGCCATATTGGTATTCTCAGTACTGGACTGGAACTAGCTTGCAATGGAGACTTAGGTAGAGGAATATCATAAAAAAGACACAGGAGCCCACTTTCAAAGACTCCACGCTTTAGCCTCAGTTTCAAGCTAGTTCCAGTCCAATGCCGAGAATACGAATATGGTGTATTACAAGTGTTTAGTGTTTTGATCTGTTACATCGTAAACGCACTCAATCGCTTCTCGTTGCAGGTAGCGAGGTCAAGATCAGTGTTGCATCAAGTATAACTCGTCATCAGTGTTCTCTTGAGTTTGGCCCTTTTGGCGTTTAAAAAAGTATCCCTCGCGGAGAGATACGAATGAAAATATCCGATTTTGTTTCAACACACAAAATTATATTCTTTTCAAATTATCAGCCTCGGCTTTATTCTTAGAATATTTTCATTTGCAAATTTCAGCCACAAAATTCTTATAAAATACATTCTTATAGAAAAAAGAGACAGTAAGGCGAGCTCACGCAGTCTAAGACCTTTACAGGAACAAGAGAAAATGAGGTCTCTTGACAGGAATAATCAAGTAATTTCATCTTCCAATATCGTTTGCTCCTACCACGACAATGGCTAACCAAGTGGCTCCCTCGGCGTGTCTCAGTAGATTTGCTGAACCAACATAAGATAAAACGTACATGAGAATAAACATGGTTCCTCTGATGCCACATTTAGAATCACAACCTGCTGCGCCAAAGAAACATTGAATTCCAAACCACCAACTACAAAAGAAAGATAGGACTTCAATTAGACTGAACTAGGGTCCCGAACGAGGATTCTTGTGGAATCCAGGCTAGGGCTTTTCTCTACTAAAGCCTGCAAACCACCCATTGTCGTCCTCTGTAGACTTAGTGTCTAGCCGAATTGTGAGCCTGCGTTTCCTGCCTGAAACAAATACTTCGACGATATCCCGGCGCCCAAAATGACCTTCTAGAGCCATGTTGAAGATTATGGGAAACACAGGGTTAGGGTACCCCCTCCCCGCCCCGCTGCGTGACTATTGTTTCTGTCATGCGTCTGTCATTTACTTTGTGTTTCGTGGGTCAAGCATCGAGGCTAGATTCTCTTTGGTACTTTACGAAGTGTGTTCCCTTCAAGGTGACTTTACACCCTTAAATGGGTTTAAATTAAAAGAAGACGTTACATTGAAACCTGATTAAAGCGGATACCCTTGGGACCCTCACTAGTGTCCGCTTAATACAGCGTGTCCGCTCAAAACAGGTTCTAATATGTTGTGCAATATAATAGTTAATTATTAACTCTTTTGTAACACAGTGGAACACAATGTAAGATCAAAAACTAGCATAGTACAATCAATGCATCAATCTGGAGTGATCACTTAGCTTTAAAACGACATCGCTGAACGATGTTAAAGGAGTCTCAGCTGAACCTTTAGAAGTAAAAAGTCCTTGAAGTGTCCGCTTATTGCAGGTTTTGTGCAACAAAATGGCTTAATATTGGTGTCCGCGTCCCCTCAACAGAGGTGTCCGCTGAATGCAGGTTTATTTTACAGTAAATGTGGGAAGAAAATTTTGGGACTTCAGCTGGTGTCCTCTTAATAGACGGTGTCCGCTTAATATGGGGTCCGCTTAATACAGGACCGTACTTGGGCTCGTCACGCAAAGAAGGAGGAATGCGTGACGAGCTAAAGAACGTCTGCAAGAGAGGTCTCACAGATGGTGGAAAAATTAATTAATGAAAAACGCTCAGAACTTAAACCGACCGAGATTATTTTAAGACATACTCAGATAAGATAACATACTTTCTTCCAAACTCGCTGATACTGTCAACGTTTCCATACCAAGGCAGAATATCAAGCCAGAAAAGTGAACCAACACAAATAAGTTGATATAAAGAGGTCCAGAACAGGTAGTAAACCAAGTTGATTCCTTTTCTTGATGTTTGGTTTTCCATCTTCACTCCATGTTCCTCGAGGACATTCATAATGGCCGCGGGTATCTAGAAATCGGAGGAAAAAAACCTTTCATTTAGAGCCGTTTGAATTTATACCACTTAGGACCAATTTAGATAATAGGGTTTAATTAAGGACAACCAAACAAATTAAACAAATGAAGTTTGGAAACATGAATAAACAAACTATATGCAACACGATTTACCCCTAATGCTTTTTAGATCTTAGGCCGTTTCCATTCATCAAACGTTTAACGAGATCAGAACTAAGCTTTGATCATTAAACGCTACTGCCTAAGAAAGATCTTTACTAATAATAGTTTTCGTTATAAGCACCCTTATAATCCATCAAATATTTTCGCTCGCGCGCGATTGGTCTAAACGCGTCACGTGACCGAATATTCTCAAGCTAAAACTGGAGAATATCCGAGA